ACGAAAAAACTCACTCAGGTTCTAAGATAAGCAGTTTACGGATGAAGTCCTTTGCATTCTCGGAGATTTGATTGAAGAGTGGGTCGTCCATATTCCAATCGCATTTCTTCACATTCTTGAGTGTCTCCTCATCGTTTTCACCACCGAAAGGTGAGAGTCCCGATAGCAGAATGTAGGCTAGAACTCCTACGCTCCACATATCAGTGTAATAGCCGACAGGATCGCCATTCGCCACTTCTGGAGCAGCGAATTCTGCTGTGCCGGTTGTTACCTGCAAATTGTTCGATAAAAATCTCTAAAGAACCCCTAGCATGATGAATACAAGTAGTGGGAACGAACCTTGACGCTTTCTTTCGGATCGAGGAACGAGGCGAGGCCAAAGTCGATCAGTTTCAGTTGATTGCTCTTCTTAGTAGTAAACATGATGTTTTCCGGTTTCAAATCGAGGTGCACATAGTTCATCTCATGCATGTGGCATAGTGCATTGCATACTTGACGAGTGTAATCAATTGCTTCTGCTTCTGTCATTCGGTTTGTGTCATCAGCGACTTTTTCAAACAGCTCTCCTCCAGACATGCTAAAAATTGTGATCTTGTTTGTTTGTTTAAGCAAATCAAGGTAAGAACCTACAATTCATAGATCATAACCATTTCCTTATCGTCTTCGAACGCATCGTGGAGGTTGATGAGGGTTGGATGTCGGAGGACAGACATGGTGTTGATCTCTTTTCTGACGGTGGCTTTATCTGCCTCATGGGGGGTATTAACGAATTTTGCGGCGAAGTTGTTGCCAGTCGCACGCTCAGTGCATCGATGTACAACACCGAATGCGCCTCTGAAATAGAGCCAAGTAGAAACTCAAGTAAGTAACTCAAGAAACAGAGTAGGGGAAATGCTTACGTTCCGATTTCCTCATGGATGTCGTAATGGTCAAGAACGCTGTCATGCTTGATCTCAATCGGTTCCGGGTAATATTGCTTCCATATGTCAATGACATAAGGATCGTAACTGCCAAGCGTTGGCCCCTTGCCGTGCACTATTTTACCCGTATCGTCGACGTCGTAACCTCTTCTGCGTATGCGTTCGTTTCCAGGAATAAGTACCGGAGCAGTCGGTTCACAAGGTTGTGATACTCCATGCTTGTTCTCTGCGCTGATTCGGAATTCGTAGGTGCATTTTGGACGGCACCCTTCTACGGTTAGATACGTGTATCGGGTCTTCGCACAAGGCTCCCATAGTCCTCCATTGATATCTCTCTTCTCGACAATGTACTGAGTGACCAGTGATCCGCCGTCTAGGTTTGGTGGTTTCCATGAAAGGATCACAGCCTCGTCGAGAACATTCTCTACGAGCGGGAAGCGAGGTGGTTCAGGACAATCAGCCACAGTTACAAGAACTGTTGCTGAATCCTGACCAACGGAGTTCTCGACGGTAACGCGATAGTTGCCGTAGTCATCTCGGGTGGCTCCAGTGATTGTAAGAGTCGCGAATTTTTCATCAGTGGTGATGGTGTAGCGTCCTCCACTTTCTATCTTCTCTCCTTCCTTGGTCCATCTCGATTCGGCACGCGGGAATGCCTTGTAGGGCATTTTCAGTTCAATTGTCTCATTCTTCTGAGTCTCATATCCACCATGATAACGAGGAGGCACAAATACTCGCGGTTTCTGCTTGAGCACCAGTTGTGCCCTTGTGCTCCTCGAACCGAATTTGTTCGTTGCGCG